TGTCTAAAGAATATTTGAGCTGTTTTTGTAAGTAAATGAAAGAATGTCCAGTTGTTTCAAAAAGTTCTGTTGATTCGGAAGAAATTTCACTTCGGATAATTGTCATTATAGGTGCTTTATGAATCACATACTGCAGACATTTTTCCGTAGTTCTTCTTGGCCTGGTGCGGAAACACAGCAACATGAGCTTTCAGGCGGAAAGGTGTGTCGTGTTCACGATTTGACTTTTTTTCTGGAACATGCAGAAAACGAAATATTCAGCACGGATCAAACAACACTTAGCGCTGAGCCCCAATACTTTAGATTTAAATAGCGCCAACTGAAGGCAGCAAAGCTGACTTGCTGAGCCCTACAGCTTTAGGGTCCAGCCCTTAGTTAGTAAGCTTTATTTGGCGCTATTGTACTTAAAATGTCAAAGCTCAGCGCTAAGTTGTTTTTTCCGTGAGTGGAGATAATTCGGAGTATGTTTTTGCTGGTTTTAGGCTTATATTACGTTAGGAAGCTGTAAGCCATGTAGCTGCAACTACAGCCACAGCTATTTATTGTCCGTAGGCAGCGCATCTACGCTTTATGCCTCTGAAATTCTTAGAGATGAAGGCCGAGTAGAATCTGTTCCTGTAGAATCATCAATTCGAAGTTTTTACTTGTTACCCCTATTTCATCCGCCTGGGAGTTATCAGAAACGGTCAAATACTCCTCCACGACATCTGCCGCATTTTGGGTGTGTTCAATCCAAAAGTTTCACGTACTTTTTGTAAAAAGCATACTCTGCCTCTGCAGCGCAAATACTTTCAAATTTGTCGGCAGTTGGCAGCAGTTGCGATGTTTGCTGTTTGTTCCCCCTCTCCCCCCCTCTAGGGGTGCGGTTGTTGAGGAGAAGAGGGCCGGGGGCGGTTCTTCCGTTGGTTGCGACACGGGTGACCGAATCGTGGAAATTGAAGATCTTACGCTCGGCAGCACTCGAATGAGACCCTGCCGACAAATTAGTTTGCACGCAGCAGGCCGTGCCCACCGTGACGTCATTTTAACTTCAGCCAGATTTTTCGGCTGAGACCCATTTGCTAGAGAGACGGTTTCTTATATTCGTGACTTATGAACCAAAGGATTACACCACAGTGACGAAAAAATACCGAAAAATGTCAGACCAAACTAGAGCCGTGGGATTTGGGGTTGCAGTTTGAAAAACTTGTAGTTCGAGAAAAAGCTATGAAAATTTCTGAACCTCCATGTCCAGGGTACGGAACTGCCGGCTTATATAATGCACCTTTACGCTTCATTTTTAGCTGCTCGCAAATTTTTGCAACAATCAGTACAAGACTGAAGGGAGACAATTTTCAGTTCAGGCAGATGCATTGGAATACCAACCAAAAGTCCGGCTTGGCATTCTGATGCATCTACCCGAGCTAATATTCTCTCTCCCCAGTCTTGTACTGACATTTATTTGAGTTCAATTTTTTTATCTACTGAAATTTTTGGAAATTTTGACCTTTATCTCCTCCCAGAATAGTATGGACCCAGCATTATTGTACCAGCCTGATATGTCGTAGTTTCGTGCACGAGGGAACGTAACTCCATTCCACGGTTGCAAAATTGAATCAAACTTTTCTATATTTTACAAGAATGCACCTGTGCAGTTATTGTCAAAAAAATTTCTGATATTTTTCTCGAGATGAGAAAAGAAACCAGTGACATTTTCAGTCAGAAATGCCCAAGTTTCTCTTGGTAAAAATGCAGTCTGTGAGTAGAAATTTGGCAACATTGAAATGTAGTTACGTTCTTTCAAGAGGAGAGCAACGATTTGTCAAGATGTCTTCAAGTCCGGAATTTCCGGAAAGCCCGGAAATAGTACTGATTTTTTAAGGGCGGTCCGGAAGCACTGAAAAAGTGCGGAAATTTCGCAAGAAGGTCCGGAATTTTCTCTTTTTTTTGTCATTTTCGTCGCAATTTGAGCGAGAAATTCAAATTTGCGAAATTTTTCAAAGTTTGTCAATTGAAGGCACTGAAAAAGTACGGAATTTTTCTGTTGAGGAGGTACCGAATTTCTCGGGAATGCACTGAAAAAGTACTGTAAAAGTACTGATTTTCGGCCAGCCTGTTTTAGTAGACACCCTGTTTGTGCAAGTTGGATGTCAAAATGCGCCAATAAGCGCAAAATCTACGAAGTGGCCAGTGAGGAAGATCCTTGAACTCTAGTTTTTGCATCCTCTAAGATGCCAAATGCCCAAGTTTCTCCTGATAAAAATGCAGTTTGCGAGTCGAAATTTGGCAACATTGAAATCTAGTTACGTTTCTTTGTGACGGAAACGACGATTTGTGCAAGTTTGGTGTCAAAATGCGCCAATAAAGGCGGAACCTGCGAAGTGGCCAGTGAGCAAGATCCTTGAACTCTGATTTTTACATCCTCCCGAGATGCCCCGCGTCTGCATCCACCGTTTGCACCGAAGATAATTGGGCCGTATTTTCACGCGGGGGTCATTCCCTCACGTGCAGTGATCCGCCGCATCGCGGCCCTCAGAGGTGTTTGCTTCACTTGCGCGTGCAACGGTTCGCAGTCACGCCACGTTATGATTCATCGGTTTTGCTTTTGATAACCGGTGATAACTCACCCCCGCCCCTTCGACGAATCCCGCGCTTAGCGTGCAAGTGCGAGGCGATATTTATGAAATCGCCAGGAAGTGATCGATTCAAGCCCGAGGCTCATCGAAATTTGCTTCGTGGATATACCGTGGTGAAGGAAATACGCTTTTCCGCCATCGTAATTTCTTCACGTCAGAATTTCTCTGATATGCACTGTATGAAAAAGAGCGAAGGGAAGGTGAAAATAATTTGAAGTTTTCGATAAATCCATCTCATCTATGCTGCCGTGCTAAGGAAAAACACCGTATGAACCTTCAGGCGTTGCCAAATTTCCTCTAATAAAATACGAATTTATCAGGGAAATTTTAAATATTTGTCTTCCAATTTCTCAGACTGTTTTATTCGCAATTTAATCTAAAATATCTGAAAATTTCGAGGAAAAATATGCATAAATTTCGTCAAAAGTACATGTTTTATCCGGGGAAATTTGGCAACTCTCGAATGTTCATACGGCGTTCTTCCTTAGCACGGCAGTATGAGGTGGCCCCCCGTGAATATCCGAATCGGCGATGAATCTAAGGTCAACCATTTCTTAACCATTCGTAAATCATTTAAATACACTTTGGAGCTAAGTGAAGATAAAGGTTGTAAAAAGGTAGAGATGTTGTTAAAGTTATGACATTTTTCTTTTAGAGCTGGAACTTGGAAATTAGCACGGAAAAATAGATTCAAACAACCTCCGGTCCAGAATTGAAGGGGATATTGCAACTTGAAAACGTAAGATTGACGCCATGTTTCACGATCGTGATGCCATCCACAGTTTCTTCCTTTTTGGTGCCATCAGTGAGGAGCATGAAGTAGCACCGATGTAGACTCATTGAATAATGGAATTACTGAATAAGGAAAAATGGCAGGGCCGGATTAAGGGGGTGGCCACATGGGCCGGGGCCCATGGCGGCAAATCAAAGAGGGAGGCAAATTTTGCAAATTTGCTTTTTTAAATGTAGGTATAAGAAAATATCGGATTTAGAAAAAAAAAAATACAAACGAGAAAAGGCGACAAAATCTCTCATTTCCTGAGAGTGTAGTAATTTTTAATTTTGTCGTCTTTCAGCGATACAAAAGCCAGCACCTTTAATTAGTCGAGTTAAGAGAGAAACCAAACACGCAATTTGGCCTAGAAAGGCGCGGCGCAGAGAGCAATGATGACGAGGACTTGAGATGAAAAGGAGAAGCCCTCGGCGCGGCCATCGGCATGTAACACATATCAGCGCCTACAAGACTGCACGAATACTTCACGCATTGCGCCAAACACGGTGCAGTCTGCGCGGCGCGGTGGCGGAAGTTAAAATCATTAAACCACATTCATGTTTGTTCTTCCATAATTTTTTCGTTCATTTCTTATGAATGGAAGGTCTTTTTCACACAGAAATGTGACCTGAAATGTGACCACAGTGTTCTACAATATTACCAAGTCAAGTTCGTGAGTAAGAATTATTTTACGAGTACTTGCATGACGCTTATCATTTAATTTTTTGTTTTGCTTTAAATCTGTATGTTTTTTGCCTCTGTGATACTTTATTTTTCTAAACGTGTCTTTTAATGTTTGTTTCAGGTAAGTCGGACAAATGTCTAATGTTTATCCTACACAATTTCATCTAATGGACATGCTCATTACATTATTGCAATATGAGGTGAGTGCAAATAAAATCGGCTTTGTTACCGGTTCCGCAAACCGAAAGTTTAGCTCAGTATTTAAAGGCGATTTATCTTACGATTCGGTTGCAACCGCGAACAAACGTTCGCTTAATCATTTTGATTATATGGAAAAAGTGTTAATCCATACACTGGAAAAAACACGTTGGATCTTGAGTCTAGACTCGAAAACATCGACAAGAAAAAGTACTCTTGATTCAATCAGATTTAAGCTTAAATCAAAAGGAAATCCGCTCAAATTAAGAGGCTTGGTTCTTGATTTAAGCTTAAATTTGATTGAATGAAGAGTATTTTTTCTCGTCGATGTTTTAAAGAGTCTGGAATCTAGATCCAATGTGTATTTTTTTTTCCAGTATACATACAACCGTTTTTCATACAAATTTCAAAAGCTCTTGAAAAATGTCGCAGAAATGCCGCGACTGCAACGTAACGGCGAGTTTCCACCAACGTAGCGTGGGTGCCGTCCTGCAGGCTCGACGTGAAGGTGCCAGACGGCTCGCGGACATAACCGTAAACAACCCGGCCAGACGTCGTCCCTCAGCATCCCTGCCCGGCGTCCCTGGAAGGGTGGGCGGGGGCGGGGAACGGAGCATGCGTCCCGGCGCCCCCCATCCGCATGGCCGCCGCGCCGGGTACCGCGTCACCACACCGCGAGCGGATGCTGATTCAGTACCTCCAAGAAGCGCCTTCCGAAAAGTCGCGTCGCGTCTTGAATTGCCGGCTCTCGCGTGTTTCCCGTCGGAGCGGAGTTGCGTCAACGCGGAGCTTTTTCGCGTGTTGTACGTTGTTTCCGTGGTGGATTTTCTGATCAGTGGTACTGGGTACCCGCATTTGTGTACTGTGTTTTTCGAAGTGTTTGCGTTACGGGAGTGGTGGTTCCGGTGTTTAATGGATTAACCGGATTCCGTCTCATCAGTGGTAATTTTTGCGCAGTTTGGATTTGTATGGAGGAGAGAGCCGCTGCTGATGTCTGAACCGATTGTTTTTCAAAAAATGGCGGAAGCGCCGTAAACTAGATTGCGAAAAAAATGAGAAGAACTGTAGTTTTAGACTTTAACCGGTCGGTAAAAACCGGATATCCGAAAGTTTTTCTGAGGCCCTAGATTTTAATTTTTTTAACGTCGGTATGGTTTAAGTTACATTTTGGCCTAGGTAATAATCATGCATTCAAATACTGTTTTTTTCCGAAAAATTTTGCCTTTTACGTCATTTAGAAAATAATCGGTTCATTCTTTGCAGCCATAGATGAGAGTTCAAGAAGTTTAATTATTAATTTTATCACAATTGCATTTTTTTCATCCGTAATATGACCTAGACGGGTTCTGTATGCACTCTAAGAAACTCACTTTTATGTGGACGTATTCATGTTAGAAGGAACTATGTTTAAATGAATGAACTCAATAGAGAATATGTCAAACGTTCTCATGCCAGCAAGTTGACCCATAACCAATTGAACATTCAATTAAGTCCCTCCACTTGCACACTGCAATGCTGTGCAGTTTGAATTCTGTTTTTCAAGATCAACTAGATTTGTTCCAAAAGCCGTACTATTTTTGCCGTAATTCGAAGTAACTTGCGCTGTTTTTCCCAAAAAATAGAGAGTGAAATTTAGAAAAATAACAGAACTTATTCATGAGATCCAATTCCTCGAGTGCACGTTTATTATGCCGTTTATTTATTTCACTGTTCCATTAGGTGCAATGAGTATATTAATATCGAGACACCCCCATAACTGACGCACCGACACCCTGATTCAGAATAAAGTGGATTTGCTAGGGAAAAGAGGAAGGAAAAAGAAAATAGGAAGCAATAAAGTGGGCGGAATAATGTAGAATTTAGAAGTTGCTCCGGGGGCCACAAAGGTTGTCAAAAACAATAATCATTGCTACGAGCTAATTGCATTTGCAGTATACCAGGATTAAATATTCGATTTATTAGTTTAATCATAGTAATTTTTTGGTCTGGGCGCACCAATTATCCAAAACAGAATAATCGCTAACAACAGAAATAAATAAACGAAAAAAAGAAGTCGGTGTAATATCGAGAAATTCTTCCGCAAAAAAAGACAATGATAAGAATCTGACAAATGCTGGGAAATTTGAGAGGAAAAAAGAGGAATCCATAATTTATTCTAACACGAGAGTCGAGAGCTAGATAAATGGTTCTCGCCGTCCGAATGTGGTAATTAATTCTTTCGAAAACAGAAGCATTCGGCTCCTTCTTCTTCTTTCCTCTCAGGTTTTCTCCCCGATCCTTTTTACCACGCGCAGCAACCGCAGACCTCTCCACAGCGATCGGGGTGCCAGTAGCACTCTGGCTGTTCGTGTTTTGTCGATAAAAGACCGATAAAAAATTGAAACTTTTTATTTTTTCTTGTATCACCGCCGCGCCGCGCCATGTCGCCGAGGGAAGGATCTCCAAGACAAATTCTTTGCCGAAGATGCCAGATCTCTCCGATTTAAAATGTTGTGATTTCTTCCCCCATTGTTATTTCCCCACCCCGAGAATGACGTTTGAGAGAAAAAAGTATTTAGGGTCAGATGTCATTTCTTAGACGAAGGAATGTATCTATTTTCAAAAATTTTATTTATACACCTATTTTTTGCACAAAAATGGTAGTGTTATTTCTGTCCCAAAATTTGCTGATTTTTATAAATATCTGGAAATGTCTGAGAAATCCCCCCTATGAAAATCCTCACCCCTGCCCCCAAAAAGAAAAAAATAGTAAGTAGTTCTCGAGTGAAAATACACAAAAAATTTGCAATGCTGATACGTCCTTACTTCTTTTATCTTGAAACGACGAAGAGAAAATATATTCTGTGATTATAATCAGACTTGTGCACCACTATCCTAAGAAAAAGAGCAGTAAGCGCAAATGAACCGCACATGCTTAATATTCTGAAGCTGTAAATGTATTATTTTGAATATTAGAAGAACCGGATGCATGCAGTATAAATGTTGGATTTGGGATAACGTGGATATAAAAAATTAAGCTGCAACCCATCCTCAGGAACACACCAATCGCTCGAACTACGTCAATAATCCTGGAACTTGGCAATATTCCTCACCTAAATTTCCACCGCCGGCGCCACCGGATCCATCGTCTCTCGTATCTTATCGTTTGTTGTCTAATCCTAAAGGATCAAGTGGAGAAAAAGGTGGAGGGCTAGATGATAAGTTGCCTTTAGGTTAATAATACTTTTAATTTTTCCATAAGAACGTAGTAAAAGCCGGGAAATTTTCACTTGAAAAGTGGCAACACGTTTAATGATCCCCTCCGATTTTTAAGATTTTATGTCCCCGTGTTTTCTTCTCCATCACTCGGATATTTTTATAGATTTTTCGAATCTTGCGGTTTTTCTCGTCGAACCGAAACCTGTTTTTTACTAGCAGCAAGCATATTAAGTTGGATTGATGGTTCAAGCTTCAGCGTTGTTGTTTATGTGCAACGGGTTGCATTTCACTGGAGAGAAGAGAGAATATGAGGTTCACGTGGTGTAGGCTTTGTAATTTGGACTGATTTGGGTGGAAAAGAACAAAGCACATAGATATTTTAACGTAAAATGCGCGATACAAATATTTCAACCTCCGGGTAGCACACATTGCATAGCTGACGATATGAAGGCGTATTCACTTTTCCTTACGTATTTGCACTTATGCAGAGTGAGCAATGGGTTTGTAATGGATGATGGATGCAAAAGAAGATCGATACAATTATTTCGACCTCTGATTATACCCGAGAATCGTGCTCCTATTGCGCGACAGGAATTCTCGTTGAATTAAAGGAAATTTTTTAAAGCGATCGTAAGTCTCTTTGAAATAATAGGAATATTGTTTTAGACGAGGGGATTTCCCGTACTTTTCATGAGAAATTCCAATTGCCGCATATTTAATTGGAATTCATATGGATCCAACAGAAAATTCTTCTCCGCGAAGCTTTGAATATATTATTTCTGAACTAGCTGCTGATGCGTATGAGAGTTCTAGAAGGCCCTCCTTTAACGCTTGCAGATTTCCTTGTTTTGTCATTCCAAGTTCCGCGAGAATATGCAAATCCCTCCGAAGTTACTTCCGTATCCTCTCAACTCAATTTAAGGACGCGACTTGGAGGTAGTCGGTAGTCAGTGTTAGGAAACCGAACATCTGAAAGTTCCGAGTTCAAAACTGGGTGCGACTGTTAATTAGAGTATGGGGTAACACGCGCAGTGGAACTGAAGCAGTCTGGGGGCTTCAATGATGCTCTTGAAACGGAGGGAGTGGAGAGAGCTTACGAATACACAGTGGAAGAGATATCGCTCGTTTTAGAAGTTCGTTTCAACGCCTTTGGAAATAGTGGTTCTTTTAATCAAAGTTATTTAAAATCATTCTGGTCCATCCTAGAAACAACATATCGACGGTGCAAGTCAGCAACCCTATATCTTGGTTTGCGACGTTGCAGACTTCCTGTCATTCTTTATGTTTTCAATGGAAGACTATTCAACAGCAAGTGGTAAAGACTGCCGTAATTTTTCTTTTCTGTCCGAAGAAAATTCTGCGAAAACTTCAAGAAATGATGCCGATTTGTTCTCTTTAAAGTAAAAAAATAAAGTGGAAGCGGTAATTTTCAAACACCACAAACGATACGTGATTGCGAACTTACACCTTCGATATGCGCTATTAGAGTATATAATTTGATAGAGATGTGCAATTATTTAAAGCTAATAGGCGTGCCATAGATGTTAATTGGCGTTTTAATTGATGAACCAGAAATAGCTCCTCCTTATTGCGCAATGCAGTCTAATTTTCGATAGTTAAACGTAGCATTACGGACAGTTTGCTCCAGAACAATTCAAATAATTGTCACTGTAACTACTCGAACGCTCGCAAAAATGCTCGATGATGTCATCTCCCGATCACCTGCTACGGGTTCATGAGTTCGTGAATGCTTGTCTAGACATGTCTGTTACATTGACTTAGAAGTTATCGGGGCTCTAGACAAGCCCGGGAGCCACGCCTGAAGAAAAATCGCCTTCAATTGAAGAGGTATGCAACGCGCGCTCCCAGGAGTTAAAATAGTGGTATTCTCATCACGCGCTAGGAATCGCGGCTCATGGGGCGTTTTACTTCGACTGTTGCCAGGTTGCTTAGGCCAGGATGGGTCTGTTATTTTTCTTGCTTTAGCCTGCTGAACAACAAGTAGAGTAGTTTCCCATAAGAGGATGCTCAAAAATCATACCGGGCACTTAGGAAAAATTTATAATTCACTACCAACTTCACAATCTATCTCAGAGATGCGCCCATTTATGATCTTTCCGAAATCTCGGATGCCATCATCATGCTTTTCAAGCCTTTTTCCTTAAAAAACAAGCACACAGAGATGTTTATTCCGCTCTTGTAAAATTTTTTAACAGACACATCATCCTCATGTAAACCGGATCTGGTTTGAGACAGGACTAGAATTTCTGTTTCTCACACAGAAAAAAAAGTGATGTTGATTTAACATTCTGGATGTAAAAAAAGTGTGCGAGAACTTATAAAATGTTGAATTACCCGCTACAGCAGTTACTTTAGCAATGACAAGATGTAAAACTAACTGCTGAGGCAGGTAATTCAGCATTTCATGAGCTTCCGCACACTTTTTTTTACATCCGGAATGTTAAATCAACTTTACTCTTTTTTTTTGTACAGAACATATCGACGGTGAAACTACCAAACCACGTATCTCGTTTGCGCTGTTTAAAAATCTACGCTCACATTTTATTTTTTTGAAGTAGACCAAATCAACATCATTCCTTGAAATTTTCACAGAATTTTCTCCTTACGAAGAGGAAAAATCACAGAAATTTTCAAGACTGGACGTTAAGTAGTTTTTCATTTAAAAAATAAAGTATGACAGGAAGTTTGCGACGTCGCAAACCGAGATACGTGGTTTGGTAGTT